GACCTTACTCCAAACTCTTCTTCTTCCATGGAGTCAACCTTACCTGCAAAACAGACTCAGTGCCATCCACAAAAAGGAAACACAGCCCTGCTGACATCGGAGCCCCCAGCCTCCACTGGTTCTCTAACCATACCCGGATGAATATGGACATACTGCATAACGAAACATTAACCAGAGTAGGTAGTGCTTATGCAGGTGATTTGTCAAGACTCAAGACAGGAACCATGTAAGCAGATGTGAAAAGAGGAAAAGAGACTGAGGTACCAGCTGGTGTTTGCAAAGAGGATCAGCAGATGTGTAAACCACTTGTATGCACAGGCAGACCCTGAGTTACAAAACGGATTACAAAAAACTCATACTTAAAAGTGAACTTCCATAAAGTCTGTTAATTAAAAAAAATACTGTGGAAAATCATCATTAACACGGAGAGGGAGGAAGAGAAGGGGAGAGAAGGAGAGCCTCCACAGCATCACCACAGATGATGAGAGAAGTGATGCTTTGGCAGTAAAAGGGGAGGGAGGCACCAAAGTGGGCCTTCCTGCCCTGCTCATCCCAAGGGGAAATCTCTTCCGCATTTCCTTGCTGCTAAGAGGAGGCCCCAGTAGGCTTGGACTGGGGGCGGCAGCTAGAGATATTTACATTTTCCACTTTCACTGGGATTCTGTACCCCTAACCCTCATGAATGTGGAGGGATGACTATATATGATCCTACTTTATAATCGACGTTATAATCTTTTTGGCATCAGGCAAAACCCTTTTTATTTTCCCATTATTTTAATGTTTAACAGATTTTAATTGGGGTTTTAGTATATTAATGGCCGAATGCTGTGGGGCTGTTCTATTCTATTAATTGTAAGCCGTCCTGAGACGTTCTGTAGGGGACAGAATAGAAAAGCTTTTAATAAAATAAATACTTGCATAAAAATTTGACTTAAAAAACAAATTCCCGTTTTCTCAGGAACAGAACTCATTTGTGACCCGGGAACTGTCTGTGTGGGCATTTATGGGACTAAAGAAGCAGCCTTATTCACAGTGGCTGTAACAGGTTCAGAGGCAAGGCTCCAAGAAGTGTTGCTGCAGATTATGCACATGATGAGACCATGAGTGGCTTTTTCCTTTCTCTTTTGTTGTCAGGAGAAAATGGTAAGACCCTCTCCTTGCTTGCAATAAAACCAACTGAAGTTGTTATCCCAGAGCATCTCAGGTCAGATGTGTTCCAGGGGAGCAGGATAATTTGCGGTTACTATCCTCTATACATCCCCATTAACTCATTTTCTTCTTTTCTTAAGCACCAGACTGTATTTGTTACTGTAACCGACAAGGAGGGAGGTAAGTGGGCTGGATGTGGCACCAGCATGGGTCTGTGGGCAAGAGGTTCCCTCCCCTGCATTATACTGCACATACTTACTTCAGACGGGTTATGCAGCCCATATCGGGATTGAGATGTGGGTAGGATCTTTTTCCAATTGCTGAATGAGAGGTGACGGGACTGTAATTGCTTTTTCTTATTAGATATATCACTGACAGTTTGCATTTGTCTTATTGACTTTCATCTGTACTTTCTTAAAAAAGAAAGCAAGCAACAAGAATCCCACAATGCATTTGGATCATTTAAAGGAAATGCAATGCACTTAAATAAAATTGGAGGAAAAATGTTATTTACCTAAATGTTAGATTTAGAGAAAGATGTGGAATGCATATGACAGCGCTGCCTGGAAGGAGGGGAGAGAAGAGGCAGTAGTCATTTGCTCACACTTATAAGCCAGTACAACCAGGCCCGACACTGAGCACTTGACTCACTGACTAATCTTCTCCCCTCTGATCAGGTAGGCTTATATCATGAGAGCTGAGTCTTGAGGTGATGCAGTTAAAGGGCACTTATATGTTCTATTTCTAAAATATCTATCCCATGCTTACTTTCAGGAGCTGAGGGTGGCTGATTCCTTCCCCCTTCCTTACTGCATCCCTACAACAATCTTATGGGGTAATGGTTAAGCAGAAAGACAGTGAATTGTCCAAGGTCACTCAGTGAATGTCTTTCTTAAATGAAGATTTCAATCCAGGCCTCTTTGGTTCTAGTCCAAGACAAATAAGCTCCAAATCCTCTTCAAAGGCAATCCACCACAGTAAACTATCCTGGAGGATCTACAGCATGAATGACCAAGGACAGGCCCAATTTTTCTAGAAAAGGCTGTACCTGGTACAGCCGCCAAATATGTGGATTTCCATTGGCAAGCTTAATACATTGCAGAATGACCATTTCTTATTACACAGGTCACTTACTATATAGTCATCTCCATAATTTTCTCATTTTCTTAACATGTTCTTTAATAAGCTTAAAGCACAACCCAGTGAGGATTGTGCCAAACTTATTAGGGGCATCCTATGCCAAGCAGAAGAGTGGGAGCAAAGGTTACCCTTGAATGCCTCCTGCTCTACAAAGCAGCTCAGTTAGCCATCTGGCTACAGCGCTTTGGAGCACTGCGGAGCACCAGGAGATGTCATATCATGGCATGGCCAGTCCTCTCTCCTCCTCTCAGAACATCCCCTAAACCCTTTTTCCAATGTTGCTTATACGAACTCAAAGAAAGAGCTGGCCTGAAGGTTTCTTGGCTGGCTACAAGCTGGGGAGGAGGGCCCAAGCATGGATCCCAGTCTTTTCTCCTGGGAATCTGAAAAAGCCTATGACCCTCTGAACACTTTGGGGAGGGGGGCGCATACCATTGCTCTGGTACAATATTTTAGAACAGCAGTTCCCAAACTTTTTCAGTCATGGAACCTTTCTGAAAACATTTTTCTTCTGCAGAACCTAACCCTAACTCTGATTTTTACTAAGCATTGTGAACCCACAACATTCTTCCTTCTTTCATCTGCTCCTATTGCCTGAGTGATTTGCATAACATAGTAGGTTTGAAAATAAAAAGAAAACATTTCAAATATAGCAAATGAATAAAGCAATTATATGCTAATATTGCAAATGAATTCTTTTGATTATTCCCAACACTACGCAACAGAGTCCTAGGCACCAAATGACATGATGCATTTCCTTGTTTGCTGCTTGGACACCAACTGACAATCAAATAGTTGGCCTCATGTGGTTTCATTTTAAAATCTATTTTAAATTTGATTTTTGAGATTTTTCGTGGAACCCCTGTAAGGCTTTTGCGGGATCCTTGGGTTCCGTGGAACACTGTTTGGGAACTGCTGTTTTAGAATACTGGACTCAATTAATCTTTCAAATCTTAGCTAAGGGTGTTCAGTTTCTAGTACATATATTCTACCTGATTTTTCTTTCTTTCAAAGCAAGTTCTCACACTTTTCCAAACCAGTCCTTCACGTCTTAATTTTTGTATGTCTGTCAGTCCGTGTGCATGTGCATCCACACACATGTTCAATATTGATTGTAGCAAAACCTAATTTTCTATTTTTACAATATATTGTATCACTGCTATACTGTTCTAAGGGAAAAGATGTGGCATATATTCCAAAGGAATTCCCAAGACTGCACAAGTATATTATCACATATTGAGCCCAGCATAAAGCATATGTTTGTTTCCCTGCTCCATTCCCCCATCCCTATTTCAAAAATACTTGTGTATTTCAAAGGTACCATTCTCATTGGCACCAAGTTGTGAACATAAAGCATTACTCAAAGGCGTCTGTGCAAGAATCCCTTAGAATCTGGATGCTCTTTTCATCTGCAAGGCTCCAGTGAGTTGTGCAGTCTTGGAATGAGCCTACAGGCACCAAGCTCCTTGATTCAGCTGGGAAATGTGTTGTGTTACATAGTCACACCCAAGAGATTGATACCAGCCCCATGTTGCAGCCTTGGAAAAAAGGAAAATGATCTTCCAAAAAGGAAGCCACATCACTCTGTTGCAGAAAAACAAGAACAATTTATAAAGGGGTGTGGCCGGGAGGAAGAGAATCCTTCGGGGAGCGTTCTGCAATTTTCAATTGGGAGGTTTTGGTTTTCTGGGGACTTCTGCATTTTTTAACATAACTTGTGCCTTACAAAGCTGTGTAAAGGACTTGGTAATTTTTTGAGGCAGTTTGGAAAGTCACTAGAAAACAGAAGTGTTCAAGAAAGAAAAGCCACGCATAAAATCCATCGGTAAGATTAAGCCATTCTTTCTCTCAAAAGATTAAGCCAATCACTCTCAAAAGCTAAGGGCCTAAAGCAGAAGATTCAGCTTTACACCACTAACTTTATATCAGAGTATGTTTTTCACAACAAATTAGCTTTTTTGTCCTCAATGCCTCTAGAATACTGTGATGATAGGACCACTTTACAAAGCAGGAAGCCTGCAGAATACTTGAATGAACAAGACATCCACATTATGACAATATTGGGCTAAAACTCCAGGCTCTTGCAATGCTTCTCTGAACAGAACTGAAGAGTATATTTTGGCAGGAAGCCCATCTTTGCTAGTAATATTACTTTAAAGATTCCAAAAAGAATCTCTCTCAATAATGACAGAATGCACATCAATCCAGTCTGAAGTCACTTAGCTTAAAACCACATCAGCATACAAAAGGCTGTGCCATTACCACCAGCAGCATTATCAAACAGCAACCTGACTTTGCTCAACCTCAGTAAAGTTGTTTCCATGGGGCTATTCTCATGTCTCAGATTTCAGATTTAACTGAAATAAGCACTGCTTTTGTGATTATGTTGACTTTCTCTGAATGATCTCTCCCATGAAATGAAAAACAGAACAACTAACACAGCCCCCTTTACCTACTGAAATGGTCACCACTGAAAAGCTGTCAAATGTTAAGTCAGACTAGGTGCAATCCTGAGCATGTTTAGAGAGAAAAAAGGCCTACAACTCCCAGCATGCCACTCTCGGCCATATAATCTTGCATGGGACTGTGCCTTCAGTTGGAAATTTGATGAGATTTGAAGCAGTGTGTGTTACAACATCTCTTCCCCGCCTGTGATATGTTCACTGTTTGAAGTCAGAAACAGCATACTAAAGATAATGAAAATTACTGACCTTTCTTGGCCAAATTATTGTTGGGTTCATATTTCTCAATCAGCTGCTGAACCTGTTCCTGCTTCAAAGGTGGATAGAGAATTTCATTTAACCGTGGGTCTCGTTGCTTCAAGTTTATAAATTCCATCATCTGGTCAACAGTAAGATATGGTCTGCTCTTAGCACCACTGCAAAAATTGAAATGGGGAGAAGAAAAGAAAGATTTGCAAATATGTTGGCTCTTCTCTGGAAATGAGCAGGTTTAAGCTATCATACATGAAACAAGATACTGCAGTAGCAGATTAGGAAATAGGCGTCTACCCATGTTTCATGCACCTGAGCTCTATTTCGTTCTCCCCCTGCCCACCTACCCTTATTCTTTATTTAGACCTGATGTCTACAGATGCTGCTATCACGGCTCCTTTTCTGTCTCCAGGCCTAAAGCTAAAAGACAGGGTCGCGACTGGAAGATCACATGCTTTGTATGCTGGAGCTTCCAGATTCAATCCTCAGTTTCTCCAGGCAGAGCTAGGAAAGAATCCTTGCAGAACTCCTGGAGGATACTAGGCGAGATGGACCTGTAATCTGACCCAGTGTATGGCAGCTACTGATGGTCTTAGTGCTGCAGCTAAGTCACTTTAGACCCTGGCCTGAATGTTTTTATGGAAGGTGAGGGCTTAGACAGCCATCTGTATTATTTCAGTTGTGAAGCACATGACAGACATTCCCCCTCCCCCCACTCCTGCATGTGCCATTCCATGCTTTAAAACCAGTTCTACAGTGCTGTGATGGAGGAGCAATAAAGCTATTTTTAAAAAGTATTCTGTGCAATTTCCTGTTTTAAACTCGCTTAAATCGTAGCCCCATCATGACTACAGAAACAAAATGGCACTTCCTTCCATGCATGCTGTGGTCATGTGCACCCCCTCCCCTGGCAGTGAAGCCCTGGAATCAGGCCCCAAAGTCCAGCCCTTCAGGGCCCACCAGGTGGAAGGAGCAGCCACCAGGAGCCTCACCAGTGCTGAGGAACCAGTCCTGTGTCTGATTCTCTGCCATCGGCTCCATGTCCCACAGGAGAGATAAAAGCAGAAACATCTCTGTTTGTGTCCTCCTGTTTTGGCAGAAAAACAGCCACAGGGACTGAGGTCATTCTGTTGCTTCTCTTGGGCCTACCACCCCAGCTGAAATGGTGCTGGACAGGGCTGAGAGAGATTAGCCATGCTCGAAGCATTCCATTTTCTCTCCATCACAGAGGACCCTGGCTCTTCAGTGGGAAACAGGAAATCAGGTGCCCAGCCAGACATGGCTGCAGGGTCTTTTGTGAGCAGACGGCACTGCTTGATAGCTAGGTGCATGGCTTGAGGTAGTTTGTCAGCTTTTCCCTACTTAGCCCACGTTTACGTAAGCTCACTCCTAGAAATATCTTAATAATATGACAGGTGTGTATCCTCACATAATACTGAAGACTAGAATGATGCCAGTGACACCTCAAAATGCCCCATATGTGCTTCTCACAATAAGTCAGTCATCTGGAGACTTTAGGCCCATGGTAAGCTGAGTATTTGCTGGCATGCAGAGATAGATGCTTTCCTGTCCCTTGGCCAACATCAAATGAAGGCGTTTGTCAGAGGATTAAAGCATCCCTACATTGACCCTTCCTTTCTCTATTTGATCCAGCTTTCCCCTTCCTTCATACCCTGGCTCATTCATATTCATAACAGAAAGCATGAATATGCTTTCTTGAAGTTCAAGGCAATAAATCACATGGAACAGCCATTACCACAAGTTTGGGCCTGCTGGCTAAAACCAAATTTCCATTAAAATGATAGAACATTCCATTAGCAAACATCACTTACCTTTATCCCATTTCATCCCACTTTTAGTGAGGAGAAGCAGTAACAAGCACATTCTTTTTAAGGAGAGGAGGAGATTACTGTAGTAAACAGAGAAACTGCTAGAATGCCAGAAAATCAAGCACTAGAATTCTAAGTTGTTAACTATGCATGAGAAGGAAATGTGTGTAAGAAAGCCGTGGATATTAGTAAAAGCAGCTTTGAAAGAGAGAAGTCAGGGAGCCAGAAGAGAGAAGTGGTGTTTAACTCTTTGCCCATCCATAACTTCTCTGCTCCAAATCACTCTCCTCAAACTTTCTACCTGCTCCACAGTTTCACACTGTAGGAGATCGATGATCACTACATGTGCTTGCTGTTAATGTGTTATTACTCTAAATCTGGAAGAGTTCAGCAACCAGGACTTTAGTATTAAAGCCAGAGGGACATTAGTATTAAAGCCAGAAAGGATATATTAAATACTAAATTTGCAATTTAATTGCTCCAGGTGTTTCAAGGCATTCGAGTATGAAATAGCAATTGCCCAGTTGTTTGCTAATTTAATTTGTGCTGAATGAAAGCACCAAGAGTGCTGCCCTACATTGTGTTTGTTTTCCTGGCTTCTTTCACTTTTTGGCTGCCATCTAATACATACTGTGCATCACATCCTCTCCCTCATCAGTGGCTCTCACTGCTATATTTTTAAACTGGATTTTCAACTAGTTCATGCCAGAAAGAAAGACAAGGTCTGGCAGTCACATTTCTCTGGGAATAACTTCCTGTTAAATTTCCAGCAATATAAAAATACAGATTGAACCTTATTGAAGAGGGCCTCTTGGTCCATGACATGATGGGTAGGTTAAATCATAGAAGCACAAGACCCAGAAATCAGTTCTTGGGCTGTCACCCTGTGAGGCTGGAGCATGAATGATGCACACAGATAAGCAATAAATGAAGAAAAACAAAAAATGCCAGTTTCCCCTATTTCTTACAACTCCAGGAAGATGAGGTCAATTTCAGGACGAGGGCACAGGTTGCTCAGAAAGTCTCTATACACTTCTGGAGTGAAGTCCTCTTGAGGAATCGAATCATTCTGTGGAAGGTAATGGAAACAAGACACTTAAAGCTATGTTTTCCAGTCCCTATGACACTAGAGCTCCTTCTAAATCTGGTATTCAATGCTACTTCAGTAGTAGATGTATGTACAACTCTGCCTACTCCTTTTCAACCCACATGGTCCTTCATCTTTGGGTACTTCACTGAAATTCCATATATGTGTAAAGAGCAAACTTCGGATCCTCCTCCTACAATTGCTTGCCCACATACATACCTATTCCTTCTCAGCCCCACACCTTGTGGTCTTCCAGCTTAGTAAGTTACCACTGCCTACATCAACTGCATTCCTCCCCTTCAGCTGACTTCAGAGGTGTGTCAAACCACATTTAGAAACCTTGTTTACAGGTCAATAGTTTAAAAAAAGATATGGAAAACATGCATAGAACTACTCCATTGCTCCAGCAATAATGCAAACCATAAACTAGAATCTGCATGACAGTGAAGTATGATGGAGTTATTCCAACAAAAAGTGTCTTGTCCTACACAACAAGACAGTGCCTTGACAAATTCTTCTATTCTTGAAGCTGCATTCATACCAAACTATATTTGAATGAAACCCAGTTGTAGAATAGTGCTTAAAATGTTGCACTGGGAGTTGAGAGATCATAAGTCCACTGAGTGACTTAGGGCCAGTCACTGCCTGTCAGCCTAGTTCACCTCACAGGGCTGGTGTGGGGATAAAATGGTAAGGAGCAAGAGGATTATGTGAGCTACATTGGGTTCCTTTCAGGAAAAAAAACCTATGATAAAAACTTTGTGTGTGTGTGTGTGTGTGTGTGTTATTGTCACCAGAGAATACACTCCCTTTCTGCCCCCATCCTTTTACTTCCTGCTAACTAATTGTTGCTCTGATTCCTTTATCGAGAATTTCTCTGCAGGAATTTTCTTATTTTCTATCAGACTAGCCTGCAGAAACAGTATCAGTATTCCACCTATAACCATTGTATTAGCCTGAATGGGTCAAAGACATGAGAATTACCCTAAATATCTCTGACTGCGTGTCACATGCTTTGCCTTTGTGACATTGATTCCTTCCAGTGCCTAACCTCCCTAGAGGAAGGGGCTCCTTTGTGCCAATGATACATAATTTCCATGTGATATTGAGTTCTTAAAAGCAAATGTTTTCTTTGTGCCTTACATTTAGTCCTCAATGCTCATACCAACCTCTGCATTGTATTTACTTTTGATATCTTATCTTGGCTTCCGGAAAGAGAGGGAAGCAAGCCTGGACTAAGGGCCCAAAGAGGAGGTTCAAAGGGCAGCAAAACGTGAGAAGAAACCAGTAAGTGAAGGCTGAAGGATATACCTCAGTGGGGACAGGGAACAGAGCTCAGACTGCAAGCTGCTGGACAGCCAGCCACACTTTAAAGGGGAGAGTTTGGAAGAAGGGGCGGGATGGATTTACAGGGAAGGGTACAGGGACCTTGTGCAGAAGGCAACATGCTAGCTTTCCTCCTATTTAAACTGTACTAGGGTGGAGATTTTTTAAACTTTTAGTTCTCCATCTTCGTTCTGGAATGGGCTTAGGTTCCACAGACTTCTTCATTCCCAGCTGGGGACTGCTATTTTTCAGTGGCTCCCATTCATTCACCACATGAGCAACAGGGAATGGACAGGGGTCACACAGGGAGACACAAATAGTACCCATGCACAATATGTGAGACATTTAAGCCCCTTCAGCTGGACAGTCTGATGTCACAATGGCCAGTCCCTCCCCTTCACTGGACGGTCTAATGTCACAATAGCTAGTCACTCCCCTCAGGTGGCAGCCTCAGTAGGAGGTCACAATGGCCGGTCCCTCCCTTCCAGGTGGGCAGCCTCAGCAGGAGGTCACAATGGCCAGACCCTCCCTCCAGGTGGGCAGTCTCAGCAGGAGGTCACAATGGCCAGTCCCTCCCTCCAGGTGGGCAGCCAGGTGGGCACTCTCAGCAGGCGGTCACAAAGGCCGGTCCCTCCCTGCCAGGTGGGCAGCCAGGTGGGCACTCTCAGCAGGAGGTCACAATGGCCGGTCCCTCCCCTCCAGGTGGACAGTCTGATGTCACAATGGCCAGTCCCTCCCCTCCAGGTGGGCAGCCTGAGCAGGAGGTCACAGTGGCCGGTCCCTCCCCTCCAGGTGGACAGTCTGATGTCACAATGGCCAGTCCCTCCCTCCAGGTGGGCAGCCTGAGCAGGAGGTCACAGTGGCCGGTCCCTCCCCTCCAGGTGGACAGTCTGATGTCACAATGGCCAGTCCCTCCCTCCAGGTGGGCAGCCTCAGCAGATCACAATGACCACTCTCTCCCCTTCAGGAGGCAGTGTCAGCGTAAGGCCATATCTGCAGCTCTCTGTCCTTCGGGCAGACAACAGGGTCATGCTACGATGACTGATGTCCTAAGGCAGGTTGTATCAGTGTGATGATAGGACATCTTATTCTCACTTAGCCACGCAACAGAATCTGAGCACAACGGAGTGTCCCTCTGAGGCAGACTGAAGCAGATGCCAGGGGTACAGACTCTCTTGCTCTTACTGAGATGGGCACAAACAGTGTAGAGGCACTGTGGGCACCAGCATGTCTCATAATGAAATGAGCTGCAGGCGGTGGGCAGAGAAACAGCAAAGGAGGAGAGGACTCATTTCAGATGCCACAAATCGAAAGCCGGAAGAGTCTGCCAGACCTGGTTAGCATTGGAGAGAAAACTGGCAGGCTGAAGGCAGATGGAAGGAGTGCAGGCACTGGTGTGGCACCTGAATTGCAAGCCTTTGGCTTTCCTTGCGAGCTTCCCAGGGGAGCCAGAAGGATCAGATGGTGGGTGGTGAAACAGCAGATCCAGGTGGTCATTGGCTGCAACCTCAACACAACAATGTACCACTGGGGAGCATTTTTCTCAGGGGGTAGGGCAGATTAAGAAAAAAAAAAGATGTCAGTTGATTAACATGGGCACAGCATAATATGAATGAGCTTCAGCTAATGGACAGTTCAGAAATTTAATGCATCAACAGCATTAGGAGAGGGACTAGCTTTCATTTGGCAGGAACAGAAATGCACTGCCTGTCTTTAGCAGTGTGCCAGTCAAGCCATGTCATTGGAACATTTATAAAACACAAGTGGCTAGAGAAGAGAGGGAGATACAGATGAGGACATGGTGTAAATGAAAAAGTGCAATTAAAAAAATTGCTATGAAGGAAAACATCTTCTAGGTAGGAATGAAACAGAGATAAAATATTAAAAGTGAAATGTACATAAGAAGTGGGTTTGGAATGGGCCACAGGAAAGCAAACACAGGTGGGAGAAATCCGCTGAAGTACTCTGCATGTAGAATTAGCTATAGACCAGAATACAAAACCACAGTTCACTAGATCAATTTCTTTCAGCGTGTGCTACCATGTCAGGGTGTCTCTCTCTCTGCTGCCAGGCTTGTGGAGGCTTCTGCCATGCCGGTGGCTCTGCAGGGATGCTGATCAGCAGGAGTCTGGCTGTGCACATCCCTCTCCTCTACACCCCCACACAGAGCCTTGTGGGAGTTCTCAACCCCCTTTGACTTGCCCACTTTTTGTTGTGTTGCGGTCCAGGGCTGAAATGGATTGAATTGGCATTGTCACCACAAGATATTCAACTCTGTCGAGGTTGAGTATTTCTATCATGCTGCAAGAGTTAAGTGTACAAAAGCAAACAGGGACTTGCTGGCTGCAGAAGTATTCACTCCCTTCCCTGAATCAATACTTGGCAGAAGTACCTTCAGCAGCAAGTGAAGCTGTGAGTCGTCTTGGGTAAGTCCTCATCAACTTTGTGAATCTGGATCCTGCAATGTTTCCCCACTTTCCTGGCAAAACTGTTCTAGTCCTGACAGGCTGGAAAAGAGCATCTTTCAGGTCTTGCCATAAATTCTCAACTAGATTGAATCAGGGCTTTAGGTCCTTTTTTTGAAACCATTCCCGTGCTACTGTGGCTGTGTGTTGAGGACCCTTCTCCCCAGCCCCAGGCCTCTTGAAGGCTGACGCGAGGCTTCTCCTAGAATCGCCCTGCATTTGGCTGCATCCACCTTGTCTTCACCCCTCACCAGTTTCCCGGTCCCCGCTGAGGAAAAGCGTCATCACCACTTGATGCTGCCACCTCCAGCCTTCATCCCAGAAATGGTGTTCTTCATGGCACACACAAAGTTTTGCAACGAGACCCAAAGTTCAGTGTAGGTCCCCACAGACCAGAGAAGCTTTTCCCATGTTTACTGTGTCTCGCACATGCCTTTTTGCACACTTCAAAGGGGCCTTGATCTGGAGGTGTTCAGCAGTGGCTTTGGCCTCATCACTCTTCCACTCACCCTGCTTTGTGGAGCATTTGAGTAATAGCTGCCCCACAGTTTCTCCTGTCTCAGCTGTGGATCTCTTGAGTTACCATTGGCCTCTTTGTTGCTTCTCTGATGCCCTCCTTATCCAGGCGCTCAGTTTTGGTGGACAGCCTTCTCTAGGCAGAGCTGCAGTTGAGCAGTATTCCTTCCATTTTCTGATGATGGATTTAACATTGCTCCAGGTGATATTCCTAGTCTGAGTGTGTTTTTTTAAATAACCCAACCCTGACTGATACCTCTGCACAACTTTATCCTGGAATGATTTGGATGGCTTCCTGGTCTTTATTAAGCTGTTTGTTTAGAAACTCTGAGGCCTTCCAGAAACATGTGTTTTTAATCTGAGATCATGTGGCATCTGGAATTGCACATGAGGGACTCCATTCAGCCACTTGCAGTATGTGACTTCTGGAGGCAGAGCTTATCTGGGCATGGCACAGTAAAGAGGGTCTTATGCAACTAAGAAGGGCTAGTTTGGTTTTGCCTGCTTAACTGTTGTGCCACAGTACAAGTATTTTGCACCCTGAGCATCATGCGCACATCAAGTGTTAACAATGCCAGTTAATTCCATTTCAATTTCAGGTGGTAACACAAGAAAATGTGGAAAAGTCAGGGCAGTGAATACAGTGGCAAGGTGCCTCCACTAGTTTAAATTGCT